TACTGGGGTTTAGTAAAAAGTTGTCCAGAGCGCCCGCTGTACACACCCAAGCGTAGGTACCGCACGAAGGGTACACGTTCGGCTTTTGTAAAGTATGTCCCGAGGCCTCCCGCTGTACACACCCAAAACAGTAGGTACCCGGGCACGAGGGTACACGTTTACTGGTTTTGTAAAGTAGTACCCGAGCGCCTCGCTGTACACACTAAGGTAGGACCCGACCACCCAAGGGGACCGTTTTTGGCTTTAGAAAAAATGTACTGAGGCCTGCTGTACCAAACCAAGCAGAGGTCCTGCCCCCGAGGGTACACGTTACTGGTTTAGTAACGTAAGAGCCTGAGTGCCTCACGGTACACACCTAAGCAGTAGGTACCTGACCACCGAAGGGTACACGTTCTACTGGCTTTAGTAACAGTATGTACCAGAGCGCCTCGCTGTACACACCTAAGCAGTAGGTACCTGACCACCGAAGGGGTACACGTTCTACTGGCTTTAGTAACAGTATGTACAGAGCACCTCGCTGTACACACCTAAGCAGTAGGTACCTGACCACCGAAGGGTACACGTTCTACTGGCTTTAGTAACAGTATGTACCAGAGGCCTCGCTGTACACACCTAAGCAGTAGGTACTGACCACCGAAGGGTACACGTCTACTGGCTTTAGAAATATTATGTACCTGAGCGCCTCGCTGTACACACCTAAGCAGTAGGTACCTGACCACGAAGGGTACACGTCTACTGGCTTCAACATTAAGTACCTGAACTCCTCAGGGTACACGTCTATGCAGTAGGTACCTGACCACCGAATCGTACCTATCTACTGGCGTTAGAAGAACCGCTCACCGCAGCTCAATGAGTTGTTGGCCTCAGTTACTTGACGGCCGCATTCAGTGAGCTTGCAGCATGGTGTTCGGCTTAGCGGTGTGTCAACCGCCTTTGGAGAGGATTTACTGGACTACGGTGATGTCTGTGGACTCACCGTCTACGTTGATCAAATGTGGGCCGGAGTCGTCAGATGCTGTTTAGTGGGACATTACATGAAGAAAAGGTTGGAGTGTTACACTGAACTGGGCCAGGGACCGTAGTGTGACACTGAGGGACGTACGATGGAGTGGAACACTGAGATATGCACAGGACCGTAGTGGAACACTGAGATGAAAAGGGTGTCGTGGGACACTGAAGATGGCTGGTTGTAGTGTACACTGAACAGTGTCGTGTGACTGACTTCGTGTCGTGAGAGGCAGTTGATTGTAATTTATTATTATAAAAATGTTATTTATAATTTACTGTTTTAGCATAGAGATATATATATATATAGTGACAGTAGTGTCAAGAGTTGTACCCTGTGTAGGGTTATTAATTATTTTAGTTAGATGCTAATTATAATTTATTATAGTAACATGTACAAATATCATAGTTCAAATACCTCTAGACCAAAGATAGTTGATTTTTATATATTAAAGATTAATTTATATTAATGTGTGTATTTATGTATCCCGAACTCTTTATTACAAAAGGAGTAAATCTTAATACCATCGTCTCTTAAAAATTACTTTTTTTGTAATAGTTGTTTAACATATTTATAGATGGAGCTGTAAAACAAGTAAATGCTAGGGTATTGGGGAGAGGGGTGGAATTAAATTATGGGGAATCAAATACAAAATACTTCAGTGAGATATGGCCAGTTTGTTGAAAGAATACAAAATGGGAGTTGACAGTTACTTTTTGCTGATGATACTGTGCTTTTGGGAGAATCTAAAGAGCAGTTGCATAGGTTAGTGGACAGGTTTGGAAGGGTGTGTAAAGAAATAAAGTTGAAAGTGAACATAGATAAGAGTAAGGTGATGAGGGTATCAAATGAGTTAGGTAAAGAAAAACTGATTATCATATTGGAGGGAGGGAGTATGAAAGAAGTGAATGTGTTCAGATATTTGGGAGATTTGTCAGCAGATGGGTTTATGAAGGATGAGGGTAATCACAGAAATGAAGAAGAAAAAAAGGCGAGTGGTGCATCGAGATGTCTATAGAAAAAAAAACAAAAAAAAAAGTGTCCACAAAAGCAAAGAAGGGAATGTACAAGAGTACAGTATAGTGGTACCAACACTCTTATATGGGTGTGCAGCATGGGTTGTGAATGCTGCAGCAAGGAAGATAGAGGCAGTGGAGATGTGTCTAAGGGTAATGTGTGGTGTAAATATTATGCAGAGAATTCGTAGTGTGAAATTAGGTGTGGAGTTACAAAAAGTATTTTTCAGAGGGCTGAAGAAGTGTTATTGAGGTGGTTTGGTCATTTAGAGAGGATGGAACAAAACAGAATGACTTGGAGGGTGTATAAATCTGTAGTGGAGGGGAGGAGGGGTAGGGGTCATCCTAGAAAAGGATGGAGGGAGGGAGGGAGTGAGATTTTGTGTGCAAGGGGCCTGGACATACAGGAGGCACATGTGAGCTTGTTAGATAGGAGTGAATGGAGACGAATGGTTTTTGGGACCTGACAAACTGTTGGGAGTGAGAGCAGGGTAATATTTTGTGAAGAGATTCAAGGAAGCTGGTTAGCCAGATTTGAGTCCTGGAGGTAGGAAGTTCAATGCCTGCACTTTAAAGGAGGGGTTTAGGATGTTGGCTGTTTGGAGTGACATCTAAACTGTCATATCTGGGCACCTCTGCAAAGAGTGATTATGTGAGAATGATAGTGAGTTTTTTTTTTTTTTTTTTTTTTTTGGGGGGGGGGGGGAGTCACCCTGCCTCAGTGGAAGGCAGCCAGCAAGTTAAAAAAATATATATATAATAGAAACAAGTTCGAAAAAGTTTGCTACATGCCAGAAGGTTCATGGTAACCTGACCCCAATTGTAGCACTGGGAGCTAATTCTTAAAAAGGCCAACCACTGGGTAGTCAGGTTATTGCACAAATTTTTCCATATGTAACGTTGTGCTCCGTGCAATGTGTGCTGATGAACAACCTACCTCTCTCATTCACTCTCAGCTCCTCATGGTAACAAAACCTCCAGTTTCTCTCGTACCTCAGCTTGGTTCATCTACCTAACCAGCTACATCTATCACATACTTAATTTAAGCCAGTTATATTAGACAGCAGCTTATAATTAATGACACTGGCAGTACTTGACCTCACTGCAACACAAATGAGGATAACAGTAGAAAGCTAAAACAATTTCCCCTCTCACTTTATACGAATTGTAATAATGTTGGTAGAATTACTGACAATACTGGGCAAAAGGACATTTGCTTCTAATGTGATATTTTATTTTGGTAACATTTCACTCTCCAGCAACAATGCCACATTAGTTGAACATGTGTCCTTTCTACAAATTTACTATTATCCCTCATTCTATGACAATTCCTCATATGCAATATACATTCTGTGTACGAGATTTATGTGGTTTGTAAAATATTTTGAAGATTCTTAATATGAAGAATAAAGTGTTGAAAGTCCGACTTTAGCTTAGTACAGCTGCCATGGGCATGGAATACATTACTACATAAAGCCACAGACACCAGTATTCAGTTTAGTTTATTTCCAGCGTGGGTTTTTTTTTTTTTTTTTTTTTTTTTTTTGGTTAAGAACAAATTAAGTTTGTCATCAATGAACAAAAATACAGGACAGTGCTTGCCTTTAATTTACTATGAAAGCAAATGCATGCTAGATTACTACAGGAAGACTCCGCTATTCTGTGTTCCACTAATTCAGCAATTTTCAATTATACCCATTGTTAATTTGGTTCAGCCCTTTTTTGGGGGGGGAGGCTGATGCACTCAACAATCACGTTATGGAAGGGCATCCAGTGCCATTTTACTGTCAGTGATTCAGCATGTTTACAGCATCTGTGCACTCTGCATTCTGGCAATTCCCCAAAGTTTCAAACATTTTAAAGTTATTACGTATATTATATATAATGTATTTTTTTGTGTTTATTACAGTGGCATGCAAAGGTAGTTGTAATTAAACTGTAAACCTGTTACTTTAAATGCCAAGTCAGAAATGATTAAAGTCAGTGAGCAAGGTATGTCTATAGCTGAGATAGGATGTAAGCTAGGTTCAGCTCACCAAGCAGTTTGCACAATTGTGAGCTCGAAGAAAAAAATGTTGAAGGAAATAAATTGCTACACCAGTGAGCACTAAACTTAAAAGAAAATGTGATGGCCTTATTGCAGACATGGAAAAACTTTTATTGCCAAGAATTAAAGATCAAACCAGTCAGAACTTGCCTTTAAGTCTCTTCAATTCTATGACTGAAGAGCAAAAAAGGATATTTCATGAAGAGGATATCCTTCCTGATGATAGTCCTCCTGTCCCTAGAGAAATGACATCCAAGGAACTGCAAGAAGCTATCAACTATGCAGAAATTGGAATGGCAGCTTACAAGAGGACTGACCCAGATTTTGCAAGGTTCAAAAGTGAATGCAACCTTTTAAATGGTATTACATGCTATAAGGAAATCCTCAAAAAAAGGGGATGACAATCCATGAGGCAAAATTCATTACTTTCCTACTTTAAGTACCATCATAACCTTCAACAGCAAGAGCTAGCCTTGAATGGCCTTCCAAGTCAGCAGCAACACACCTCTGCAAAAGCTTCACCCAAGTCTCCATCATCAAAATGAATAAAATTCATTAAAGTCAGATGATGAAAATCTGCCATCTCCATCCTTCCTACAACAAATATACTCATTTTTCAAATTTACTACTCATTACGTATAAGCTAAAGACAAAAATATTTTAAAGCAAGCAACATGTGTATTGTACATTCATCTTTCATATCTTTTCTTAGGCCTAGCTCCATTATACATTTAATAATTGCTAGTTTAAACATGTTATCAGGCTTTTATATGCATTTGAAAGTGAAAAAAAAGACTGTTCCACTCTTTGGCGATTTCTGCTTTTCAGCGGGAGTTGGAAACTTAAGCCGCCGTATAAGCAGGAACCTCCTGTATATATTTGTATCTTAATTCTATTTAAATAGGAGTCTAGAAATGTTTACGTGTCTTACCTGCTCAATATCTCGCAGCTCTTTGAGCTTGTTGCGGCGTACATTTACTTCTTTAAGTAGCTCTTCAACGTTGTGTCGAAGATACCTCTCCACCTCCAACAAGGTCAAACTGTCGTCAGGATCAGGGATAGCAGTACCCAATTCCTAATTAAGGGAAAAAAATAATTACAACTTTCACGACTATACATCTAAACTTCCAGCAAGCGTGCGTGAGCGTGTTAGATAGGAGTGAATGGAGACGAATGGTACTTGGGACCTGACGATCTGTTGGAGTGTGAGCAGGGTAATATTTAGTGAAGGGATTCAGGGAAACCGGTTATTTTCATATAGTCGGACTTGAGTCCTGGAAATGGGAAGTACAATGCCTGCACTTTAAAGGAGGGGTTTGGGATATTGGCAGTTTGGAGGGATATGTTGTGTATCTTTATACGTATATGCTTCTAAACTGTTGTATTCTGAGCACCTCTGCAAAAACAGTGATAATGTGCGAGTGTGGTGAAAGTGTTGAATGATGATGAAAGTATTTTCTTTTTGGGGATTTTCTTTCTTTTTTTGGGTCACCCTGCCTCGGTGGGAGACGACCGACTTGTTGAAAAAAAAAAAACATCTAAACTGCCATATCTGGGTGCCACTGTAAAGACATTGATATTGTGTGAATGATGATGAAAGTGCTGAATGATAGTGAAATGTTTCTTTCCTTTTTAAGTCACCCTGCCTTGGTGGGAGATGGCCAACATTAAAAAAATAGATTATTAGTCATCTTGACATGTATAATGTACTGACAGTCATTATACACACATTTAATTTTTTACCATACTATATTTTACACAACAAAATAAAAATGATCTAAATACAGTATTATAATAATACAGTGGACCCCCAGTTTACGATCAGCTCCCAATGCGACCAATTATGTAAGTGTATTTATGTAAGTGCGTTTGTATGTGGATGTTTGGGGGTCTGAAATGGACAAATCTAATTCACAATATTCCTTATGGGAACAAATTCGGTCAGTACTGGCACCTGAACATACTTCTGGAATGAAATAATATTGTAAACCGGGGGTCCACTGTATATGAAAAAGTATATAAAATTTACAAAAAATACTTTGAAGTAGACAATGTGTGAAGTATCAAACAAATATGAACGATTATAATGTTAATCGTGCAACTTTGTTATGAAAGCATATTCAACAATACCCCACTGAAAAACTACATACCTTGTTTAAGTGATAAAATTCCTTGCCATTTTCTTCAATACTTGTAGCAAGTTTGGTCTTTAATAATGTCTCCCCATTCAGTACATTACTCAGTAGTTCCTGAAAGCACGAAGTTCAAATATTAATTTTATTCTGAAAGTTCCGCACAGGAGACTGAAGAAAATAGGGGTATACGAAATAGGAAGTTTGCCAATGACATTAAAATAGGCTATGAGATCAATTCTGAGGAGAACACTAGTGCACTACAGGAAGATCTGGATAGGTTGATACAACGATTGGAGAAGTGGCAAATGCAGTTTAATGTAGGCAAATGTAAGGTTCCAAACCTGGAAAACAAACAACCACACCAATTCTAAACGAAATAATGTAGACCTCAATCACTCAGAACGCAAAAAGTTTCAGGAATTCTGGCTAGTGGTAATCTAAAGCCAAGACACCAGAGCACAAGTGCTCATAATAAAGCTAACAGAATTCTTGACTTCAAATGAAGTACGAATAATAGTCCTCAGGTCATGCTTCAACTTTATTTATCCTTGGTAAAGCTTCATTTAGATTATGTTGTGCAGTTCAGGTCTTCAAGTTATAAAATGGACATAAATGTGCTGGAAAACATACAAAATGATGACAAAGCTGAACCCATGTATCAGAAATCTTTCCTGCAAGGACAGACTGAGGACACTGATTCTGCACTCTCTAGAAACACACAGTATGAGGATAAGATTACAGTGTACAAACTGAAGACAGAATGAATAAAGGTGATATAATGTGCTGAAAATATCTAACCAAGAAGGGACTCACAGCAGTGGGTTCAGGTTGGAAAAATTTAGATGAAGAAAAGACATAGGAAAGTACTGGCTTCTTAAGAGTGTTGTGTACAAGTGGAACAAACTCCCGACTAGTGTCAATAAAGCAAGAATCTTGGGTGACTTTAAAAACAGGTGAGAGTTGAACCTGCCTAGCATGGGCCTCAGTGCTCCTCCTGTTCTTATTCATATGGTACAGTGGAACCTCTGTTCTAGTTTGCCGTGGTTTTCGTCAAATTTGGTTTTCGACAAATTTTTTGTCAAAAATAACCCCAATTTTCGTTCATCTTGGTTTTCGTCCGCCGTACCGAATGTGTCCACGCTTGCGCACCCACACAAAGCATCCCACGCACACATTCTGAGTCAGTCTGGCTTTGTTTCTTGTCGAGTGAATATTACCCTACCCTTTGATAAAGAAGGTGAGAAACATGATAGAATTAAAGAAGGAACTTGTAGAAAATTGCGAAAGTGGCGTACATGTGGTCAATCTCACTAGGATGTACAGGAAGTCCTCATCAACAATCAGTTCCATCCTGGCGAAGAAAAAAAGAAATCAAAGAATCCAACGTTGCGAAAGGGGTAAGTGTGCTAACGAAACAGATCACAAACAATCGAAGGTGTCGAGTTGTCGTTGGTGTGGATCAATGAAAAACAGTGGGAGATAGTGTTGTGGAGGCGATAATTTGCGAAAAGGCAAGGCAATCGCATGCGGAGCTCGTAAAGAATGTGCCTTCTTCAGCAATTAAGGACATTTGTGCAAAGTGGAATGAGGTGCAAAGTTTTGGAGAAATATCATCCTAACAAAGCTGTTGCAAGCCGTGTCTGCAACATGTTCAATGACAGTGCCGTGTCCCATTTTAGGCAAATCTTAAAGAGACGCCAGAAACAGACCTCTCTGGACAGACTGTGTGGCAGGGGTACAGCGGCTCAAGCTGGTCCTAGTGCCAGTAAAAGACAAAGAAGGGAAGTAACCCGGGGTAGGGACTTGATACCTAAGTTCTTATGGAAGGGGATTCCCCTTCCAAACACTCTCTCTCCTCCTTGCCATCTTCCATATGCCAACAAGTCTTTAATAAAGGCAAAACTAATTTAAATGTTTATTTATCCATTAAAATTAGTGCTTTATATTTATTTCTCATTTTTTCTGTATGTAAAACTATAGTTATTCTCTATAAAATGTATTTCTTGTTAATATTTTTGGGTGTCTTTAACGGATTAATTGGATTTACGTTATTTCTTGTGGGAAATATTATTGCTTTAGTTTTCGTCGAATTTGATTTTCATCAGACTCTCTGGAATGAATTAAAAACAAAAACCAAGGTTCCACTGTATTAATATTGCACAAGGCAAAAGTTTCATTTATCAAATTATTCTGTTACATACTAGGAAAAGTTGGTCTGGCAAATCTAAGAGTGGCCCTCAGGAATCTTATAAAAGAAAACACAAGAGTTAATACAGTTATGTATATTCTTCGAGTATTTACAAATACGTACAGGTAATAAAATTATCAGGCATTCACAAAAAAGCTGTAAGCCCATGTGAATTTTTCATCACTGTCTGCCTTACCTTAACAAGTTCTATGATGCGAGTCTGCCGTTGAACACAGGTTTCTTGATCAAATCCAATTTCTGTCCATATTTCACGGAGTATCAGATTAACACTCCTTAGCTCATTTATAAGCTCATTCTCATAATTTTCCATGGTAGAGTCTGCAAACAATAAAGAAAAACCATGTTAGCTAGAAAGACCTAAAAATGAATCTTTGGACATTTCAGCCCAACCTGGAAAATTATTGCCCTCAGCATCAATGCACCACACCCCTTGAAGATCATGACAGACAAGGGAATAAATAGTTATATTAGTAAATTTTCCGATAAAAATACAGATTGCCACAATTTCTGAAACCACTATAGATTTATAGAATGGTTTACATTATGATAGGCTGATGATGTATCAGTAAACCTTCCATTTGTCTACATTAAATTGCATCTGCTTCGGAAAGGAGGCAGATGTAATTTAATGTGGACAAATACAAGGTTTCCTCTTCTCCTGTACATTGTACTAAATTTAAAGAGAGAAATTTTTGTTTTTCTTTTTGGGCCACCCTGCCTCAGTGGAATACGGCCAGTTTATTAAAAGAAGAAATGTAAGAAATGTAAGGTTTACCTGTGGTAAAAGAAAATAATCAAAGCAATTATAAACTAAAATTTTTATTAAAACAAAATCAAAACACTTAGTAGTTTTGGTTAGCAGAAATATAAAGCTCAAAAAGGCAAGACACAAGAACACCTCCTAATATATACTGTAATGGAAATAAACTGCACTTACTGTGTTGGGTAAATTTTTCAGTATTAAAAATACAGATAAAATCACCTTCACAGATTCTTAAGTATTCTGTACAACGTCAAATTTTGCAGACATAATTTATATTCAAGTGAACGCTGCTTGCCAATATGAATGGCTCAGAAAACCAACAAACTGATAAATGAAATGCTTGTGCAACAATTCCAGAATTAAGATACCCAAGTGTTACTTGCTGATAGTTTACTTAACTTATGAGAACTTTTTGCTTGCAGAAAAATATTGCAGCATCTTCCTGAAATATTGACAACTTTGAAATGCCAACGAGATTATCATTCCAGATGGTTAACTCAAGAAAACCCATGAAAGGCAGAGGCTTATTTCAATTGTGGTTCTTAGATCCTCCACCAGGATACCACCCACAACAGTCTGCTAACTCCTACATACGTACAGCAAAGGCTACCAATAGGAAAGCTGGAATAAAAGTGATATAAATAACATGCTAAAAATACCTAACCAAGACAGGGCTTGCAGGAATCGATTGACGTTGGAAAAATTATATTTATAAAATATATAGGAAAATACTGGTTTAGCAATATAGTAGATGAGTGAAACAAACTCTCAGGTAGTGTATGTATGTATGTATGTATGTATACATACATACACTACCTGAGAGTGTCATGACAAGTTATTTAGGTACAGGTACACACAAGTACAATTATCATACATTGTGTAAATTATCCACTAGGATAACCCAAAGAAGTCAAAAAAAAGTCCTTAAGCAATAAAAAGGATTATACAGCTTGATTGGTTTGTTGCTCACTGCCAAAGAAATATTATTCTTACTAACATCTCCCAAAAACACCAATCAATCAAGAAATGACCGTTTATTCCGTGTAGATATTATGACATTCCCCAGGAGCTCTGACTCAAAGGGGTCATACAGCATTCGGGGAATGGAAAACAAGCAAACTTGATCTAAGGGATTGGAGCGAGGAAAAGTTTCGCCGGCAGTAGCTTCTTCAGTCCAATGTGAAAAATAACAGATGAGGAGTACAAGGCAAGTGTGTAAGTTACATAAATTATTATACATAGCATATATGTAATTAATTAGGATAACCCAATAAAGTCAAAGTAACTTATTTCCAGTGGGGTCCTTGCAGAAAATAATTAAGTTTATTTAGGGATATATACACAAATACAATTACACAAATTATCATACACAATAACACGCGTGTAAATTACCCACCAGGATAACACAAAAAAGCCAGCGATTTATTTCCACTGTGGTCCTTGAAACCTGTTCTTCTGTATCAGAGTGATGAAGCTACTGTGAGACAAAATATTTCCTCGGTATAGATTCCCAAATGTTACACCAGCGTCTCATTCTTTAACATGTCAGTTTTCAAAACCATTTTCATCAGTGAGTGTGATGTAAAATATAAAATTAATTTAATTTCTGCCGAGGAGCTTCCTTCTACTAAGTTTATTTAGGTACAGGTAGACATAATTACAAATAACACTGACTAAATTACCCACCAGGATAACCCCAAGGAAAGTCAGAAAGTGACTTATTTCCAGTAAGTTTCTTCAGGTACAAGTACACACACACAGTTACATAGATTATCATACATAACAGCATGTGTGTAGTTTACCCCAGTGGGTTATCTACCAGGATAACCCACTGGGTATAAATAACCTGCTGGGACCCCAATGGGTTATCCACTGGGGTCCTACAGTCGAAAGTCTGGCTTGATCCAAGGAACTGGAGGCGGCTCCAATTCCCGAAACGAAAAACCTTTCAGCAGCGTCAAGGCACCTCTTTGAAGGGTCACAGTGAGGGTGTTATTATTTAATTTATTTAGCGAATAATTCAGCGAGTCTGGCAGCCCTGACACAAAGACCGTTCCTTCAGCACTAACTTACTTAAAAACCTCAACTTACCTGTTTCTGAGCTGCCTTTACCCACTACAACTTAAACTTTTGTACTCCGGGAACACGGCTAGGAACCTACCATAAGGTGTTAAAGCTCAGGAAAGGTGTAATAAACAAGATAAGGAGATAACTATAGAGGAGTGCGTCCTTCTTGCTGTTCAAAACAACTCTCCTCCGTCTCCCTGCACGCTGATTGGCTCAACTCCAGGTAATACATCTTTGCCACATGTAGCCGTAAAACTCATTATATGTATACGTATTAGAAATATTTTAACTCTTAAAAATCATAAAGTGACTGGAAAAAATGTGAAAGAATAATTTTTAAACTAAGAAAAGGGACGGTAGTGCCATTTCTTGAGTCAAAACACCTATGGAAATAAGTCACTTTGTCTGACCTTTTGTTTGGGATACCCTGGGTAATTTACACATATGTTACTATATATGATAATTTTTGGAACTGTATTTATATGTACCTGTACCGAAATAAACTTAGTTATGAAAACAATTCAATGTTTGATTTCATTACGTTATTCTTAGTTAAATTCTACGTAATCTACTATTTCAAGACATTATAAAATTTAAAACTTAATGTAGTGGCCTTTTACTGTTCTTAAAATTGAAATACACAATAGTATTACTTTTAAAAAATGTAAGATCTAAATGTTAATATCTTTGAGATGACGATAGCGATGCGGCCTTCAGGAAAAAAATATGTGATGACAAATGTCAGGACAACATAAGAACCTAAGTTAATCTCACCTCAAGAACCTAAGTACATGTAAAGTGAAACACTGAAGCAGACCTGTTGGTCCATACTGGGCAAGTCCTTCACAAATCCATCCCACTAAAAACCATCCCGTGTGATGAAATATGACAGGAAAATCATGTGATGAATGGTTTTGAAAACCGACAAGTTGAAGAACTGAGACACTTATGCAACATATGGAAATCTTTATTGAAGAAACGTTTCGCCACAGTTGCTTCATCAGTCTTATACAAAACAGTCCCTCAGCCTGGAGTCGATGTGTTCAGTCCATCAATCTTGTAGAAAGTACAACACAGGAACGAACAGGTGCAGGTAAGATCCCAATGGGGTGAGTTGGGAAGACGGGACAGATGAAGAATAGCGCTGGAGAGGAGTGTTCTTAATCGTAGAAATTGACCAAGGCTTGACCCAGCAGCTAAGGCGATCGTGGGACAGACTTGGAGAAAAAACGGGGAGGAAGCAGTGTATGCAACAGTCTGGTGGTAGATGAGATCTCGAGTCTTGAGAGCTGGAAGTTTCCCGGTCGCAGGAGAGGGCAGCAGACGTGTAGGAGTTTATTTAAGTAGTTGAGGAGGCAGGTTTGCAATGGAGCCATTTGCAGACTTCTTGAAGCTGCTCCTGAAAAGGTGGTATAGTGTTTCTTGTTGGAAAAAGTGAAACGAAGAGGCTTGATGAACTCAAGAACTTGCGTGAGTGTGAAGTGAAGAGGTGATTCGCAGGCATATTTGACTGTTCCATCACCGAGGCCTTTGTAGAGTTCAGAGCGAGTCATGGTGTCAGCATTCGAGGGAGAGGTGTAGAAAGTAAGGTTTTCCTAAGAGGGTGTGCTGGAGTCGTCGGTGGATTCGTCAGAAAATTCGTGTTCAATTGTTTCTACTGTGATTGTGCCGAGAGGAGACTGGGAGTCTAGAGTATTTGCGGTCTGGCTGGTTGTTGGTGGTTGTTGAGTGGTAGTGGTCAATGGGGGTGGATCAGGAGTGGGGTTTTTTTTGGGGGGGACACAGTCAGGATTTGGGCCTGAAGTTGATGTGAAGTTAACGATATTTGGGATAATCTTGATTATTATTATAACCAAGGGGAAGTGCTAAACCCGTAGGATTATACAGCGCCTGTGGGGGAGATGGAAGGCATTCAGGGTTAATTCAGGGAACTGGAGCACAGATCCAGTTCCCTAGATCAAGAGCCCCTCACCAGCATCAAGGAACCTTCCTTGAGGGGGGGGGGATAATCTTGAGAAAGTCCTGTGATGTTGGCGAGTCAGGAAAGTTGAATGACGGCATGTTGCTAAGACAGAATAGTTCGTTAATTGTAGTGTTGAGTGTGCCTGGGTTTGCTGCACTTGCAAAGTGTGCATACATCATGCAATACAGCACCTTACAGGGAGCAGCGTCAGGCAGTGCAGATAGGGAATTGCTGGATAGAGATGACTGCTGTGTGGTTGGTAGAATTCTGGTGGTGTCCGACTGGAGTTTTGCAATGACGGTATATGTCGGCGATTTGGGGCTATTCTTCTTGGTTTCTTTAATTTTTTTCGACATTACTTCTTTTCGGGGTGGGCATTTAGTTAAGACATGTTGGAGTGGCATTGGTGGTGGTGCAGCTTTGAAGTCATGACCTTCTTTTCCACAGGTAGAACAGAACTTTTTGTCTTTATTGGGACAGTCCTTGGTTGAATGTTGATAAGAGTAACAGCACAGGGCCGTAGCAGTGGCTTATATACTGCAGTCATGTGAGGCGAAGCAGGAGACGGGGTTATAGTGGAACCATCCGTTTCTTCAACAAAGATTTCCATATGTTGTATAAGTGTCTCAGTTCTTCAACTTGTCGGTTTTCAAAACCATTCATCACATCTGTTAGACACTGCATCATCATGTAATCTTGACACAAAGATTTCTTCAAAACTTGTCCAATATTTGGACGAAGATCTCCTGTTCGTCATCCTCATATCAGACATAGACAGAGATGTAATCCATAGCATCGTATCATCCTTTGCAGACGGTACTAGGATCTGCATGAGACTGTCACCCATTGAGGACGCGGTTAACCTCTAAGAAGATATAAACCAAGTTTTCCAATGGGCAGCGGAAAACTGTTATGTTCAATGAAGATAAATTTCAACTACTCCGTTATGGAAAACTGGAGGAGATAATAATTAGAACTGAGTATACTACAAACTCTAATCATACAATAGAGCGGAAAAGCAATGTGAGGGACCTGGGAGTGGTAATGTCTGAGGATCTCACTTTGAAGGAACACAATAGTGTCACTATCACATCTGCAAAGAAAATGATAAGATGGATAATGAGAGCATTCAAGACAAGAGATTCGAAACCACTGATGACCCTTTTTAAATCACTTGTTCTCTCTAGGCTGGAATACTACTGTACATTAACATCTCCATTCAAGGCAAGTGAAATTGCAGATCTAGAGAATGTACAGAGAACCTTTACTGCACGTATAAGTTCCATCAAACACCTTAACTACTAGGAACACTTCGAACTAATTGACTTGTACTCGCTGGAACGCAGGAGAGAGATATATCATCATCTACACTTGGAAAATCCTATAAAGACTGGTCCCTAATCTGCACTCGGAAATCACTCCCTACGAAAGCAAAAGACTAGGCAGACGGTAGAAAATACCCCCAATGAAAAGTAGGGGCGCCATTGGTACAACAGGAGAACACACAATAAGTGTCCGGGGCCCAAGACTGTTCAACAGTCTCCCACCAGCCATAAGGGGAATTACCAACAGACTGGGATGCCTTCAAGAGGGAATTTGACAGGTACTTAAAGTCGGTGCCGGATCAACCGGTCCTGGTTAATCACGCCCTGCTCCACCGGCAGGCCTGGTCGTGGACCGGGCTGCGGGGACGTTGATCCCCGGAATACCCTCCAGGTAGAAGTGTCTTTCTAAACCAATATGTCAGTATCTATAACATAAGAACGAATGAACACTGCAGCAGGCCTACTGGCCCATGCGAGGCAGGTCCAAGTCTCCTACCGGCTTAAGCCAATGCACCCAACCTAGTCAGGTCAGGTCACATTGACTTAAGGGAGGAACACGGCAACCGACCTGGTAGCTCAAGCTATCAGGTCCAACTCACACCCACCCACATCCACTCATGTATTTATCCAACCTATTTTTAAAGCTACACAACGTTCTGGCCTCTATAACTGTACTTGGGAGTTTGTTCCACTCATCCACAACTCTATTACCAAACCAGTACTTTCCTATATCCTTCCTGAATCTGAATTTTTCCAACTTAAAACCATTGCTGCGAGTCCTGTCTAGGCTAGATATTTTCAGCACACTATTTACATCCCCTTTATTTATTCTTGTCTTCCATTTATACACCTCAATCATATCCCCCCTAATTCTACGTCTTTCTAGAGAGTGCAGATTCAGGGCCCTTAGTCTATCCTCATAGGGAAGGTTTCTGATACATGGGATCAACTTTGTCATCCTCCTTTGTATGTTTTCCAGAGCATTTATATCCATTCTGTAATACGGTGACCAAAACTGTGCAGCATAATCTAAATGAGGCCTAACCAAGGATGTATAGAGTTGAAGAACAACCTGAGGACTCCTATTATTTATGCTTCTTGATATGAAGCCAAGGATTCTGTTAGCTTTATTGCGAACACATTATTTAGGTTTATATTTCACAAATTTTTCCACGACAAGCATTGTTTGTTGATTTTGTTTAGGTAGCGGCGGAGGTGTTAAAATGATCTGCATCATGTGTGAGGGTGTGGGTCATCCTTCACTAATTACTGCGTATGACCTGACACAGGTGTTAGGCTTGCCACCTCTCAGGTAGGCTTTGACTCAGTACTTGCACTTTGTGCCCGCTGTTTCTAGTGTTCCTGTTAGTACTACTACTGCTCTTCAACATAAATGGTACACAGTACCAACAAGATGAAGAATTAGACACATGATAATTATATCTCAAAGTTGAGTATGAGGCTGATACAGACAAGGCCAACGTCGATTTATTGGTCACTCCAGCCAAGGT